CAGTGGCATCATTGGTAAATGTTATAAAAAGTGCGAGTTTTGACAGCTCTCTCTCGAATCAAAGAGTCTCGTATCATATTATCCATGATAGGGCTGAATATCTTTTTACGGTGGACCTTCGCTATTTAGCATTTTAGCAAAGTCTGCCCACAAAGCCTCCGCATGAACGCGGTCCCCTTTAAGGAAATTTTTCGCCAAGTCTGGATTTTTGCCCACAAAATTAAAAAGAAAAAAATATTTTATTGACTTTGGCTTTTATGTTTTCCTCTAAAATAGGGAAAGGAAAGTACTAGTATGTTAAGGAATCGAAATAACTGGCTCAAATACTTACATCTTAAGTTTTACTATAAAAGCAAATTCAATAATTTCGCGCACTTCTTTTTGAACGATATCAAAACGTCAAACAACTTGCGAAATCGATTTTTAAAACATGCCATATCGCACCGATTTTATGTTCGAAAAATGTGTATTCGTAATCGCAAAGTGGTATTCAGAGCACCGTCTCACAATTTCATTATCATTTTCATGGGAAAACGATTTCTGGAACWCGCCTGATAGTATTAATAGAAATTATATGTGAGACATTGACTCAAATAAATATAATATTTATCAATTTTAATATATCGTAATTTGAATGCAGTGAATGTGCAGCGAAATTGTTTCAAATAGATGAAGTTATAAAATGCAGTAGAGGATGCRATCTGACATTTTGTTTGAAATGTAGTAATATTAAAAATTTAAAATTATAAAACAGAATTTTAATATAAGATAATATCGTTATCAATGTAGTGTGTCTACATAAATACGGAATTTGTCGGATATAACGAATTTGTGGATTATGTAACAACAAAAAAAGTAAAAATTAATTCATTGTGGAAACAAGAACAATTATTGAGCAAATCTTATCTTATGAAAATTGTAATAATTTGAAACAAGAGCTCCTAACAAATATGCAACAGAACTTAGACAAGAGTTGCGATAAAATGTGCAAAATATATGTCGACTGTTGGGAACATTAATAGTAGAATGCATAAAAAGTGATGCAGTTGAACAAGTGCAAGAAAAAGAAAACAATGAAATAGAAGATGAATGTGCCGTAGAAAAATTTAAAGAATAAAAGGACTTATAACTCTGACAGGCGACAGCGCTAATATGTATTAGCGGGCTTAATTTACATTTACATGCGCAATTGAAACATGTTAATGCAAGTTTGTAATGCACAAGAATTTCGTGCATTTAGCTGAATTTACCAAATTGAGTAGGCAACACTGCTCAAAAACCGCCGTTTTTTGCTATTTTTTGACAGATGTCGCTTAAAGCATCAGAGATATGCAGTTTTATATTGCTAATTGAATTATGTATGTGCATGTATTAAAATGTATGAAGACTGAAATAAAAGATAAGAGACATATAATGTTATAATCGAATCAGACAACCAAAGATATGAAAAACTAATAAAAATTTAATGGGATAATTGCAGAGTTTTCAAACATGTAAACGTATCCAGATGTTTTAATTGGTTAGGATTGGAGCACAAAGCCACGAATGCCCAAATAAAAAAAAAAGCATGTGCATAAATGCAGTTGACAACATGATACAAGTGAGTGTACGGTTAACTACTTTATATACGTAAATTGTTCTGAATTTTGTGAACAAAAAAGCTCTGAATGTTGGGTGTTCTGTCAAAAAATATCAAAAATCGGCAGTGTTGCCTACTCAAATTTGGTAAATCCAACTAAATGCATTAAATTCTTGTGCATTACATACTTGCATTAACATGGGTCAAATGCGTAAGCCCGCTAATGCATATAGCGCTGTTGTCTGTCAGGGCTATTAGCTGCATATTTATTTGAATTTCTCGGTGTTTTGAACAAGAGTTTTTTGAAGTGTATCCCGTTTTATTAAATATATATTTTCGATTATTAAAATCCGTAAAGGTTAAATTTACATAGGATTGTCCAAAATATTATTTACCAATTCGATCTCATTTCAAAATAAACACATATGGGGTATTCACAACCTGTCTTAAATCGTAAGGTTGTAAAGTCGTAAAATTTTAAATTTTTACACTTCTTTAAAAAAAATTTGTTGTTGGATTACATACAAAAATGAGTTTATACATTTACAATTCTCAATACTATGTTTTCGAATCATTRTAACTTATAACTTTAAGGGACATGTGAAACCATAATATTTATTTAAACAAATTTTACGACTTTACGATGCTTTAAGACAGGTTGTGAAAGCCCCAATAGAGATTTATAGGAACATAGTTGAATAGTGGGGAACCAATGTGATTTCAAAAATGTAAGGTTTTTGTGTACTACACACTAATTGTAATTATGTCTGTTTGTCTGTCTATGTATGTATATGAGTCTGATTTTATATAAACATATGTTTGTCTATCAGTCTGAATTACCTTGTAATTTTTAAATAAATAAATGAATTTTCTAGAACATTTCCATTAATGTTTTTACATTACAATTATTCTTCTCCATGTCCAACTAGGAATATTTTGATTTCAGTTGTGTACTATTCTCGGAAAACATCTGATTCCGTTGTTGCTTGGGGTAATTACCTTGATCACAACAAGAATGCTTCGAAGGAAGGATTTTAGAAGTAATTGTTACTTAGGATAGAGTCTAATACTGCTGAATTGCAAGTGGGAACAGATTCAACAATTTTTTAAAGATTACCTATATGTTGAAAAAAAAATTTTTTTGATTAATGTTTAGGAAYTCCAATAATTTAAACTCAAATCTGTGTTACAATTTGTATCGGAAACTTGATTTTAAGATTAATTATTAAATTATCTTAAGGTATATTATAGTTGATACGTTGCAATACAACTCTGTATTCAGCACCTTTCAAGTGAAAAGCGTTACGACGCTTGCGAGAATTGGACAGGCATATTTATTTGTTTTCATTTCATATTAGTAGTCAGTAAAGGAATCATATTTTTTTTCAAATATTGTTTAAAGATAGGTAAGCCGTGAAATAAAAGAATAGTGCATATTAAGTTATTCATTTATGCTATGGGTAAATTTTTTTTAGATAATTGAAATATATACACAAGTAATTTGTGCAGGTTACCAGTCGGCGCCAAACCAGTAATGTCGTCAGCCAAAAGGAAATCTATGCCAGGAAAACATAAACAAACAACACCAGAGAAGAGATGCAGGAGTGGTCAGTTGGAACCTATTGCATCAGACACTTATTCTGCACGGGAATTTGAGACGGCAGCGGAACATCATGGATTGGATGATGCGAATATATCAGATGACGAGGAAGGTGGAACGCGAATTGGGGACATTTATATACCACCTCCAATACCACCGCATTGTTCTACTGAAAGTAAGGGACCTCGTTTGATTATTAAAAAAATTGAAAATAAGAATTTTAAAAGCTATGCTGGTACAGTAGTCYTAGGTCCATTTCATCATGTGAGTAAAAGTTGTAATAGAAAAATTTTTATTTTTAAGTGTTTATAATTGTTAGTGTTTTACCGCCATCATTGGACCAAACGGCAGTGGGAAGAGTAACGTTATAGATTCTATGCTGTTTGTGTTTGGCTATCGAGCAAATAAAATTCGATGTAAGAAAATTTCTACTTTGCTACATAACTCGGCCAGATATCCAAACATGTCTATGTGCTCGGTTGCTGTACATTTTCGTCAGATATTAGATAAGGAAGGTGGAGATTGTGAGGATATACCTGACAGTGATATTATAGTGGAACGTATCGCATTTCGAGATAATTCCTCTTATTATACCATCAATGGTCGACGAGTACAGTTTAAGGAAGTAGCAAAGTTATTAAAAAAACATCACGTTGACTTAGATCACAACAGGTTTCTAATATTACAGGTACGTTATGATAAAGTATTTTATTTTCTAATTTTTTAAAAATTGTTACATAGGGAGAAGTTGAGTCAATTGCAATGATGAAGCCGAAGGGACAAACAGAAAATGAATGTGGTATGCTTGAGTACATGGAAGATATAGTTGGAACAACACGTTATAAAGAACCTCTTGTCAAAATAAATGAACGAGTTGAGCAACTTACTGAAGAGAGAACAGAAAAACACAATCGCTGCAAACTTGCTGAGCGTGAAATGAAGGATTTGGAGCAACCATATACTGAAGCAATTGATTACTTGCGACTCGAAAATGAAAATACGCGTATTAAAAATCTACGCATACAAAAATATCTTAGTGAAAAAAACAAAAAACTTCAGGAATACAATATAGAACACGAAGGAATTAATTCTGAGTTAAAAAGTCATATTGAAGGATTTGAGAAGATAAAAACAGAAAGGGAAGCAAAGGAGAAATTAATTAAGGAAGAAATGTCGTGAGTTTCTTTTTTAATTTTTTGCAACTCGTTTTTGAATTGTGTATTTATTTAATTAATTATTTATATATTTTTATTAAGGCAATTTGACTCCCTTCGTAAAAGAAAAGAAGATATTGAAAAGCAATGGGAATGTGCACATAAAAACTTTACCGAAGTTCAACAGACGATGGACATGACGAATAAAAGGCGTAAGCAGCATAAATCACAAATGGAAAAACTTAAAGACGAAATTATTGATTTAAGAAAAATACCTGCAAAGAATGAGAAAGAGATCGACGAATGTCAGAAGAAAGCGRTAAAACTTACGGAAAGTAAAGCGGAACTGGAGGAAGAGCTTCAAAAGAACTATGTTTCGCTGGAACAAATAACCAAACCTCTTATTGAAAAACGTGAACAGCTCGAAACCGAATTAGTCGAGCTAAAAAAGCATGTCGACGAGGCTAAAGCCGCTTTGGCATTATCTGAATCTGAACTAAAAATTCTTAAACACGATGAAACKACGGAAACTCGAAAATATGAAACTATGAAAACATCATATGATGAATCGAATTGCAGTTTAAGAGAAAAAATTGCGACCATTGAAGAAATTAAATGCCAGTTACCCGAAATACAAAGTGAAATTGTAGAAAAGACGCAATATTTGCAAAAATTACAGTTTGAAGAGCAACAAATGCGAGAAAAATTAATGACACTTAAGACTGAAGTATGTTATCTTCATAACATTGATATGTACCAGACAAGTTTTTTATATTTCAAAATTTATTTTTAACAGATAAATGAAAAGTCTTTAAGCCTGCAAACATCGCGATCAAACAATAAGGTCTTGGACTTTTTGATGAGGCAAAAGAATGAAGGAAAAATTCAAGGAGTTTTGGGAAGATTGGTACGTATAAGAATAAAAGTTTTATTCAAAGCTAAATAATTTACCAGAACCAAAGGCGGGTTTAAGTGTTATTAAATGTGTTCATCACTGGGACTAGTAAATTTATAAAGTATTTCTGACAGGGTGATTTGGGAGCCATTGACTCAAAATTTGACGTAGCAATTTCAACAGCTTGCGGACGGCTAGATGACATCATAGTCGATACGGTTAATACTGCACAAGAATGTATAGAAAATTTAAAGCGTTATGATATTGGTCGAGCTACATTCATTGCACTAGAAAAAGTAAAATATTTAGAAAAACAGTCTGGACGAATACAAACGTAAGTACTGTTAATTTCGCAAAGAATTTTAGATTTCTTAATAATTGTCTAATTTTAGCCCAGAAAATGCTCCACGTCTTTACGATTTAGTACGCGTGGAGGACGAACGGGTACTACCGGCCTTTTATTTTGCCCTTCGCAATACGCTAGTAGCTAACGAATTGGAGCAAGGTTCACGAATAGCTTATGGTGTACGAAGATATCGAGTAGTAACATTAAATGGTGACGTTATCGAAACGTCTGGCACAATGTCAGGTGGTGGTCGTACACAGATACGTGGAAAAATGGGAACAAAGGTGCAAACTAAAACAAAACATTCAGCAGATTCGTCGATGATATCCCAGAAAGCTTTAGAAGATATGCAAGTTAAAGCCGAGGAATTACAATCTCAAATAAATTACAACCAGGAGCAGCAAGGTCGTTTAGAACGAGAGGTACAACAACTCAATTTAACCAAACAAAAAAATGAATCCCAAATACAAAAACTGGGCATCACCATTAAAAGTTTGAAAGAACAGTTGCCTCGCATTTTCAAACAATTGGAGGCACAAAAAACGCGTATGGAGCAAACTACTACCGATGCAGCTAAAGTTAAAAATATTGAGGCCGCGATTGTAAACAAACAAAATAATTTGAGTAGTTCTGAGGAAGAGGCAGACAAAGTGGCTAAGAAAATAGCTGAAGTAAAGAGAGAAATTGAGAGCATCCATGGTGATAAAGTTAAAGCTGTACAAACAAAAATCAACAATTTGGGAAACCAAATTAAGAAGCTAAATAATAATATATCTAAGTTAAAAGTTGAAGTAACTACTTCTGAACGCAATGTTATCAAAATGGAAAAACAAATTGAACAATTTAATGAGGACATATTAAAAGCGCAAGATGAGCTGGTTGCGATGAGTATGAAGAGACAACAATATGACGATGAAACTGCGCAGCTTGTAAAAGAAATTGAAGAGGCACAAAAGGCCATTGAAAATACTAAGAGTGAATCTTCGGAAATTCAAAAAGAAATTGTAGCTTTGCAAAAGCGCGAAGGTGTGTTTTTTTTTTTTAATCATATTTTGTTTTTTATTTTGTGCTGTATAAGCCATAGAAATTTTTAGTTGGTCTCACTTAAAAATGTCATAATAAAGGGACACAATTTTGTTTATTGTCACACATAATAGAACCCAAAATTTGCTTTCGCTATATATATCTTTTATATACTTAAAATAATTTTTTTTTTTGTTACAGGGGAGTGGTCACTCAAGCGAGTGGAAATTGACCAAAAGCTTCAAACTGTTACTGCCAAAATATCTGACGTAAGATCTCAAATTCCGCACTGGCGAGATCAGCTTAAACCTTTACGTTTGCATGTTATTCCGGGGGACCAAGAACCACAATCGCCTCTTAAAACGTACACAGAAGAAGAGCTTGTTACACATACTCTACAAGATATCCAATATAAAGAGAGTGTTCAAGAGGAATTGCTTAAAAAAAAACCGAACCTCTCATGTATCGATGAATATATTGAAAAGCGAAACGTGTATTTGGAGCGCGTAAAAGTGCTAGAAGATATTACATCAAAACGTAATGAAATGCGGCAGCTTTACGATGATTTGCGAAAGAAGAGATATAATGAATTTATGCTAGGTTTCAAAATAATTACGCGCAAGTTAAAGGAAATGTATCAAATGATTACCCAGGGTGGTGATGCTGAATTAGAACTTGTCGATTCAATGGATCCTTTTACCGAAGGTGTCAGTTTCAGCGTGCGGCCACCGAAAAAGACCTGGAAGAACATTTCAAACTTGTCTGGTGGTGAGAAAACATTATCRTCTTTAGCATTGGTATTTGCATTACATTACTATAAACCGTCGCCACTTTACTTTATGGATGAAATCGATGCAGCTCTTGATTTTAAGAATATTTCTATTGTAGCACATTACATAAAAGTAAGTATATATATATGTATATATTGTTCGGTTATTACAATTTTTTAAATAAATTGTAGGAGCGCACCAAAAACGCACAATTCATCATCATATCACTACGTTCCAATATGTTCGAGCTATCCGACTATATTGTGGGTATATATAAGGTAAAGGACTGTACAGACTCAGTTACCATCAAGAATGTGCCGCCACCATTGCCACTCACACAAACTCAAACACAAGCCCCAACACAAATGTCAGATAAAAATTCTCTGTTTGATAAACTTAAGGAGAAAGGAAGTGATTCGCAAGTAATGGCACTAACACAAGTAGAAGAAGATTCTGAAAATGCGCCTCCTTCACAGAATCGTGAAACGTTATTTGACTCGAATCTGCAAGAACGCGACACCACGTTTGAACCCAATTACGAGAGTACTGCCCTATCACAAATGTTACAAAAGGACCTTGGTAACGATTCTGGTCGCGCAACAGTATGCTCTAAAGCCAAAAGCAGTATTGATTCGTTCTTTAAAAAACCGCTACCGCCCTCACAAAAAGGGAACACATGAGCTACCCATGTGCTTTTTTTTTATATTTATAGCATTCTAAAATTAAAATTTTCGAGACGAGCAAACTTATTAATTCCACTTTATTTATTTTTTTTTGTTTATCTTTTTTTGTGTACCGTAATTATTTTCAAAATCAGTATGTTAACTTTTGCAAAAATTGTATTCTAATATTTCATTAACTTGGGTTAAAAATAAAAAAATTAATAAATCATTATAAATATATTATGATATATAAAACTTATACCAAAAGATCTGAGCCTGAGGCTTTAATTAATATGTCCCCGCGCTACCAATGCAAAAGTCAATAGCCTCTTCGGGTTTGCAAATAGCACCTAGTTCCCGCTTGGACATGAGTCCAAGTCGTGTATGACCGCGATTATTGGAAAAGAAAAAGAAATGTAGAAGGCAATCGAGCGGGACGTCATGAACTACGCAATATACTATTACACCAACATCTTCCCTAAAATTTTAGATCATTATATAGACGAAAAAGTCTTTTCGTATTTCTAATCAAACTTTAACTTATACTCTTGCAACCAGTTGCTAGAGAGTATTATAGTTTGGTTCACCTAATGGTTGTATGTATCACCTAAAACTAAACGAGATGGATATAGGGTTATTTATATATACAAACCTCTTCAATATAATAGATGTGTAACTTTTTCAATTAAAGCTCATCAATAAAAAGTTTTAATTAAATTTTTAAGAAAAACGCAAATGTACTTAYATTTTTCAAATATTTACAAGCTAAATTAAATAAACTTCATTAGAAAAAAAGCTAAACAAACAAATGTAGATCCAAAAACAYACAGCTAAAMTAAACTTGCTCAAAAAAATAGGTACACTTTTAATAAGACAATTATTTTGAAAAAACAAATTATCATAAAACAGTTTCGTTGTATCCGCCATTATTCTGGATTACTTTATTTATTCGTTTGGGCATTCTACTGATTAAAGAATGACATGTTTCTTTAGATATCTTATACCAAGTTTTTTTTTGTATGCACTCCCATAACTTGTCTTTGTTAGAAAAAGATTGGCGCGCCAAGTTTTTTTTAGTTCTCCCCATAGGTTTTCTATCAGATTTAAATCCGGGGATTGGCTTGGCCACTTCAAAAAGTTTAACATCATTGTTTGCGCCTGTGAACTGTTTCAGCACTTACTACTTTTCCAATTTCTGTTGCTTCATCTTGTCAAAAAAGTCTTGCGGTATTTTTTTTTATTGAATTTTCAATTGTTCATAAAATTGCTTTAGAGGCTTAAAAAATATATTTTTTTGAAGTTTTCTGGGAGGAAATAAATAATTGGTTGAAGCGGAATTTCTAGTGTTTATGGCTATATATTTAAACATCATCCGCAAATTTCTTTGATACTAAATCTTTTACATTTTGTTTTTGGGAAGCAATTGTCAATTGCTTCTCGCTTGTGCATATGCCAGACGGCGGGCAGGATGCAGGTCGAGATTTATATCCGAAACAAAAAATCCAAAGAAATTYATATTATTTAATAACTTATGTTCAAATTAAGCTGAAAATGTCAAAAAAAAAGTGTAGTTTCAATAGAAGATAATTTAATGCCAAAGGTTTGCCCCAATTCCATATGACGTTCAGWTTTTTTCTATCCTGCCCGCCAATTAAGAAAAATCGTAAAAATGAAAAACGAAGTTTAACACCCAAATGCGTCTTTATTCATTCAATAAATCTTATCTCTTAAAATGTTTTTTTTAATTCGGAACTCATTAAAAACTTTACAACAAATATATTCATTTGCAAGTTTTGTCACATTAAACAGTAAACAGCTGATTCGAATATTGGTTTTGCATATGTTCGAAAAGACAAAAATCCAATCAAATTCTGTGACACCATTGAAAATCAGAATTGGTTTGCAATTCTGACAGCTAAAGACATTTCTTGAGTGAGAATTTATTCATCTTCAATTTGTTGTAATTGTTAATATGCGAGAATATACACTTGTCTAACTATTATTTTTATGTTGTCAATATATACCCGTCTTACAATTATTTTTGTTTTAATTTGCCTGTATTTTGAACAGGACTTTTTAATATATTGCCTGTTTTGTAAACACAGCACTTTTTAATTTGGTTGAGCACTAAATACGGCTCTAGATTAGATTAGATTTAAAGATGGGGAATGCACCGCGACCTTAGGTCTATTGTGCCCTCTCCTAAATCACATAGACTCACTTAGCCCCAGCACATTGATGAAGTCCATGCGATCACTATCCGGAAACATGGATAAAAGGACCTTAATCCTGAGCCTACAAACTATATGCAGTCGATCAGCAGGTGCTCCGGAGTTTCAGGCTCCCTGTCGCCGGCAGTTAGCGCAGAAATATAGGCCCATGTTATACAGATGCCTATTCAGCTTGCAATGGTCAGTATACAATGCGAATAGTAGCCTGAGTTTGTTCCAGGGAAGGTTATTTTCCAATTAGCAACCTGGCATGTCTCATACCGTATGTTTGTTGCCAATGCTCTTTCCTGCCCACTCCTTCCTTGCGGAGTAGCTCCTTTATGGTATGGGTCCTACCATCATGGTGGAGACTGCAGAGCGGGCGAGCTCGTCCGCCAGTTCGTTACCGGCTATACCGGTTCCCTCCGACATTTCCGAGTCATCGGAGTACCACTCAACGTGCTATTCCTCAACATCAGCTCGAGATTGGAGTCGTTCCATTCGTCCTTGTTGCCGGTAGTGACCTTAAACTTTTTCTCGAAGTTAACTATTTTGGTAGTTCTGTAGTTCGGGAGGAGGGCTATTGATATATTGCCACTTACATTTTCCATCCTCAGGGACGAGGACACCTTGTCTTTGCCACACCCCTCTGCCGTTATTTGCAGAAGAGTGTGCTTGGCTACCTGACCTATAACCACATGAGGCGGAGTAAGTAGTCGCTGCAGCCTCGACAGTTTGGTCTTTACCGAAGTCTKCGACGCTATTGAGGCCCAGGCMGCCGTCYCGTACCTTATTATTGGTCGCACTATCATGGTGTACAACCACCTAACGATCCTTGGCTTACAGCCCCAGCACTTGCCCGCCAGCCGATTGCACACCATTAAAGCTTTTGTTGCTTTAACCAGGGTCAATGGATGATGCTTCCACCGCAAAGTGGAATCTAGCATGAGACCAAGGTATTTGACCTTATTGGTCATCTCTATCTCTCTGCTACTGAGTGTGGTCTCAGCAATTCTGGTACGCAGTACGGCTTCTATCCATCTGTGCACCGGTGCTGCCACATTCCTTTTCTCCAGTGCCCTGKCTCCACTCCCATGGGACGTGTTATCAAAGGCACTTCGATGGCCAAGAACGCGCAAAGCATCACCTCCCCATTCTCTAGTGAACTCTCTATCTCAGAGGTTCTAAGGACCAAACATTTTATAAACTCAAATAAGTATCTTKAAGTTCTTGCCTCTGGTGTAGGGATATGAAAAGTATTTTCTTTAGTGAGAATTTATTATACTCTCGCAACAATGTTGCTAAAGAGAGTATTATAGTTTTGTTCACATAACGGTTGTTTGTAAGTCCTAAAACTAAAAGAGTCAGATATAGGGTTATATATACCAAAATGAT